TTATAATCCTCTCAGTGATTGTTCTGCTTTTTCTCTCTTTTTTTTTTCCTGTCTCTTTAACTGCCTGTGTTATCTCAAGAGCTTTAGCCTCTATCTCTGAAATTCTTTCTTTTCCATGATTTAATCTGTTACTGATACTTTTGCATGTTTAAGTTCCCTGATTCATTGCTTTAATCCCTTAAGCTCCACTATATCCTTTCTATTTTCTTTATATCATGTGTCTCTTATTTGATTCTGTTTTTGGATTTCCTTTTGGTTATTTTTCACTTTCTCAACAATTTTCTTCATTGTTTTTACCATCCATGTTTTAAATTTCCTTTCTGTCATTTCTAACATTTCTTTGTAGGTGAAATACTTTGCAGTAGCTACCTGATTATCCTGAGGGGTTGCTCTGTTCTGGTTTTTCATGTTGCCAGGATTTTTCTGCTGTTTTTTTCTCATGAGCATTTTCTTTTTTCCTGTTTCCTCATTTCACATTTTCTTTTCATTTCATCCTCCTTTTTAAGCTACCATGTCTCTTACTTAAGATGTTGAAGTGTCCTTTTGGTAGAGGACCAAATGGAAGAGAATAGTGAAAGGCAAGAAGGAAGTAAAGGTAAAAAAAAATAAGGAAATAAGGAGGAAAGGGGGTGAGTAAAATGGAAGATTGACAAAAAGAAGAGAGGTACAGAAAGAGAAAGACAGGAGTAATAGTGGTATCCAGTAGAGTACTTTGACCCACATCCACAAATGCCAATTTCTTGGGACCTGGGTTGTATGTGTCTCTCAAGGTCAGTAACTCTTTGCCAGCCTGAGCAAACACAGGACCCCAGCTCTACCATATAGAGAAGAAAAACAAAAATATTATAAAGCAAAAGCAAAACAAACAAACAAAATGCTTCAGGGTTAAAATCTGGGGAAAATATTATAAAAGGAGCAGAAAAACTGACAAAAATAGAGCTTGTTATTGAAGATGGTAAAATGAAAATGTATAATTATAAAATAAAAGAAAAAAGGAAAAAGAAAAATCTAAGGGGAAAGAAGTTGAAAAATTTTAAAATAAGAAAAATAAATAATATATATCTTACTATGTATTTCCTATGTGATCTTCTCGGGTATGAGGTGCTAATCTCAACACTAATACAACTGTATAAGATGGAGGCTGGAAGCCTCTGCCTTGCCAAGGATACAAGGTCTCATCTTCCTGAGTTGTTTGCCCTCAGACTCCATAGGGTTGGGAGTCTGAAACTCTCCTTTGCCCACTTCATTGACATTTCTCGTCCTTTCCATACTGTGTCCCTTGGCCATACAGTAGCTTTCCCAGGAAAGTTTATGTTGCTCAAATCTCCCCATGACTGGCTGCCTAGCTTATGAGGTGTGCCAGAACCCTTCACACTAGGGCCCTAAGTGCAGATCCTGCAAGGCAGCTTTTCCAGAATGACTGCTCCTGGCTAGCGGCCAAACAATAGAAGCTCTGCTCCACCCAAAATCACTTTCTTGCTCACCTATGCTCTCCCCAAGGTAACTAAACCAAGTGTCCACATCTAAGAAAAGAAAAAAATAAAAGAAAATAGAAGAAGAAAAAGAAAAAATATGAAGAACAGGCCTTCCCTGTCTGTAAACTGCCACCGTTGCCACACTTGAGGCTTTTGTTGTATGCATGTATTTGTTCTTGTGCAGCTTCTCCACTGCTTCTAACCTCTTGGGGTCCCAAAGTCTCCTTCTGCCTCCTTGTGCCCCAAAGAGATGTTTCTCGGCAGAGTCCACAAGCTAGAGATGCCTGAATACTTTTTTTATTATTTTTAATTTTTTTTAATTAAATGATAGCTGTGTACATTAATGCAATCATGGAGTACAGTGTGGTGTTTTCATATACAATTTGAAATGTTTTCATCAAACTGGTTAACATAGCCTTTATGCCATTTTCTTAGTTATTATGTTAAGACATTTATATTCTACTTTTAGAAAGATACACTTGTACCCTTATAAGATAAACCATAGAGATAATCCCTCTAATCACTCTCCCTCCACACATCCAACCCCCTCACCTCCCCCTCCCCTATAACCTAATTATAGCCTAAGGTGTCTGGATTCTTTCCTCTCCAAACTCCCTGTGCATAGCCTCAAAGAAGCTGTCGCTCATCCGCCATCTTGCTCTGTAATTTTAGTCCAGTTTTTGATGAGGTTGTCTCTGTTTTCTTTTTATTTATTTTTTTCTTACAAATTTAGTTCATTTATTTGTAGATTCTAAATATAAGTCCCTTGTTGGATAGGTAGTTTTGAAATGTTTTCTCCCTTTCTGTAGTTTGTCTATTTACTCTTGATTATTATTATTATTAATTGCTCTGCATAAGCTTTTTAGTTTAATTAAATCCCATATGGTTAAATTTATTGTTACTGTATTTGATTTGGGAGCCTTATTCTTAACTTCTTTGCCTAGTCCAATGTCCAAAAGAGTTTTTTACCCTAATTTTTCCTTTTAGAATTTTTATGATACTATATCTTACAATTAAGTCTATAATCCACCTTGAGTTAATTTTTGTGTATTTTGACAGGTAGTGATCTTGTTTCATTATTCTGCATATTGTGCTCCAATTTTTCTAGCACCATTTATTAAATAGGTTGTCCTTTTCCCAGTGTATGTTTTGGATTTTTTTGTTCTATGCTGTTGAAAATCAGTGTGTAATAGCTATATGGTTTTATTTATTAGTTTTCTCCTTTCTTCCATTGATCTATCCTTCTACCTTGATACTAGTTAGTATGCTGATTTGATTCCCATAGCTTTATAGGATAATTTAAAATCAAGTAATGTCATGCATCCAGATTAGTTGTTTTTACTTAAAACTTATTTAGCTATTTGTGCTCTGTTTTGGTTACATATGAAGTTTAGGACTTTTTTCCTAGTTATTTAAGAAATAACACTAGTATTTTGATAGTAATTACATTGAATCTCTAAACCACTTTGGACAGTGTCAACATTTTAAATAATAATGACTCTTCTGATCCTTAAACATAGGATGCTTTGCTGTCCAGATATATCAACAAATATTTTTTTTCATCAATGTTTAGTAATCATCCATGTAGAGATCTTTCATCTACATCTTGGTTAAATGTATTCCTTATTATTTTTTTGAGGCAATTTCATATAGTATTGAATTCTTAATTTGACTCTCAGTTTGAAGGTAATTAATGTACAGAAATGCTACTGGTTTGTGTACATTATTTTTTAACCTGGAATCATGGATTTATCAATTCTAGGAGTCTTCTGTTGGAGCCTTTTGGGTTTTATAGATATAATACTTGTGTTTTTCCATTTCATTTACTTTTGCTCTGATCTTTGTTATTTCTTATCTTCTGGTAGCTTTGAGTTTGGATTTTTCATTTTTTACTTCCTTGATTTGTAACATTAGGTTGTCAATTTGTGATTTCTCTGTATTTTTGATGTAGGCATTTAGTAATATGAACTTCCCTACTACTACTGCTTTTCCTATATTATAGATATTTGGGTAGTGCATACCACTATTGTTATTGAATTTGAAAAATTGTTTGATTTCTTTGTTTATTTAATGATTTACCCAAGGTTAGTTCAGCAGCAAGTAGTTTAATTTTATGTATTTGTTTACTTTTGAGAGTTCCTTTTGTAATTGATTTCTAATTTGATTAAGTTCTGGCCTGACAGAGTACCAGGTAGGATTTTGATTTTAAAATTTGTTGAAACTTCTTTGTGGTATAACATAATGATCTATCTTAGGTAATATTCCATATGCTGATGAGAAGAGTGTATATTTGGCAGTTTGGGGGTAGAATGTCCTACAAATGTCTATTAGGTCCTTTTGTTCCAATGTTTCACTAAGTCCAGTATGTTTAGTCTTCTTAAATAGAATAACCGCTAAGAATGTAATATCCTGCAATTCTAAGTTTCATAAATGATGGAGAAATAAAGTATTTCCCAGGCAAGCAAACACAAGGAATTTTGTTACATCTACACCTACCTAATAGGAAGTCTTTAAGTGTGCCCTACACATTGAACAGTATAATAAATGGATACCCATGTAAAACTAAAAGAAAAAAGCAATTCACATCTCTTATAAAATAACAACCCAAAGGAGAAAATAAAGCAACTAGGGAGCAGACAATATGATGACTGGTATAGCATTTTAGATATCAATATCACCACTTAATGTAAATGATCTAACTACCACACTTAAAAGATATATACTGGCAGAATGAATTTTTAAAAAATCACAATCCAAATGTATGTTATCTTTAAGAAACTCATTAAACTTATAAAAATTCTTATATACTGAAGGTAAAAGGTGGAAAAAATATTCTATGCAAATGGAAACCAAAAGCAGAAAGTAGTTATTCTGATCAGATAAAATAGACATTAAATTTATAGTAAATTTATATTTACTATAGTAAACATATTTACATAGTAAAATATATTTTGTTTTATATGTTTATATATTATATATGATATAATATGTTTATATTTTTAAAATATATAAACTTAGTAAAAAATTACATATTTACAATAGTAAAAAAATGATGATCAGTATATAATGATGAAGGGATCAAATCAACAAGTTAGATATTAGAATCCTAACTAAGGGTGGACATAAATTTTGTGTGCAATTAAAAATAGTTGTAACTTTAAATTGCAAATGAACTTTATATATACTCTCTATATATGGACCTAACGTAGGAGTGTCCAAGTTCATATAAAAATATTAGACTTAAAGAAAGAAAGAAATAGCAACATTATAATAGCTGGAGACTTCAACACTCTACTAACAGAACTAGATAATTTATTGAGGCAGAATATCGACATCTAAAATTTCTCTAAAAAGAACGTATCGTTACATCTGTTAAGTTTATCATGGTAACGATATTGCCTATGTGTGGAATACGCTCTGAATGCAGATTTGTGTTGACATCTTGTATGAATTCATTGGTGTTGATCAACATTCTAAGTAGTAGCAATGCATACCTTAATGAGATTCCATTTATTGTTTCCACAGATTTCAGGAAACCTTACTGTGCCTTGGATTACAGCGTGTACTAGGAAAAGAGCAGTAAGTAATCTTTTACTTAAAGTAAAAAATGATTTTCTCTTGTTAATAGGAATGTCATTGAGAAAATTCTGATTTTTCATTAGTTGGAAAAACTGAACCTTGAAAAGACAACATTGTCTTAAGGAACCTTTTTGTAAGATAATAGCATACACACACACACACATATATATCTGTATATATGTGTATAAATATATGTGTGAATATATATGTAATGTTAAATAAAATATAGTAATGAGCACACTATTTTTTAATGTTATAATCATACATGAGTAATTTTTTTTTTCAAAGAATCTAATTCAATGAATCTGTGTAGGAATTATAAATCTGCATTTTACTTTCATTCCAGGAGATCTTTCTGTAACATATCCATAGATAGGAAACTACAACAATTTTAACCATAAAACAGCTATTTTTAGCCTGTAAGAAAGATAACTAGGTTACCACATAATGTATAGATTTGGGGATGGATAAAACTGAAGCTAGGGCTTTAATATGGATATTGTTTAGATTTAACTCTCTCTTCTCTTCTTCACAAAGTAGAACTATTAATCCTGGAAATAACATAAGAGAGCACTAAGAGTACTCTGAAAGATGTAAAGAAATAGATAACTGCATAAGGACTCCATGACTTAGAGGAACTACAGGGATATTGTTCCACACTTAGTATTATAAAGCTACTCAAGCCAGGCAACTCACTATCCTTAACCTAGCAACAGAAGGCAGTTTCTGTAGATTCCTTTTTGCACCTACTCGAGAAAGAGTCTCACAAACATCATGCAACAAGCCTGACAACATCAACAAGGAAGGTCATTTGAATACTTTGCTACCAATACACTATTAGGGAGAGTATTTCCTTCCTTTCTGAGCCTGATAATTCTCTCCCTCACCTGGAGTCACCAGGTAACAATGTCAAGAAAGATACTGCTAGACAGAGCAATTTTGCCTGGGAACCCTCTTTGCTCCTCTACGAGGTATGGAAAGTCCTTCTGTCTCTTCAGATGGCATGAACAATGACCAGTGTAAACATTGATGGCACAAGACTAATTAGGCAGATGATGCTCACTCCATGAAGGTTTTGAAAATATAATTATTATTGGAACCATAACCCACAAGAATTGACCAATATTTGTATACTAAACATAAGACAGAAATTACCTGCAAAAACAAAAATACTTATATTAGGTAATGTCCTCTGAAGATAATGGCCTACTACGATAATGGCTAAAATGTCTAGGAAACAACTGAAAATTATCCTTCATAGGAAATACCAGGAAAATCATAACTTGAATGTTAAAAGGTAATCAGCTGGTAAAAACACTGACATGAAGCAGCTAATGTAATTAGTTGATAAAAATTTTAAAAATGCTTTAACAAAGAATTTGCAAATTATCTAAAAATAAATAAACAAAATAGAAAATCTCAGGTAAACAATAGAAGTTGTCAAATGGAATCAAATAAGAATTATGGAGTAAAATAATTTAATCACTAAAATCAGAAAAGAAAAAAACTTGTTAGGTGGCTCAATATTAGAATGGAGATGAAGATGAAAAAGGATAGAGTGTGTGAACCTAAGGACATATTAGTAGAATTTGAAATATTTAAACAACAGAAAGAAAGTAAAATGAAAAATAAAGAACAGAGCCTTAGAGTCCTATTGGGCAGTAACAGAAGCTCCAATATTTATATCATTGGAAACCCACAAGAATAGGAGAGAGTGGCTCGGTGCCTGTGGCTCAAGTGGCTAAGGCACCAGCCACATACACCTAAGGTGGTGGGTTTGAATCCAGCCCAGGCCCACCAAACGACAATG